CAGTATGATGAAAATGAAGACGGAATTAGAAGAAGCTATACGATTGCTCTCTTCTCTTGTACAATCAAATACCAAATGGAACAAAGCTTTGGGTTTGGAAAGGTTTAAAAGTACTGCAAATAAATCTGCTTTTAATATATTGGGATTCTTAGATGAGAATGTAGAATTTGATAAAATTTGCATGATATGGCCGGATTTATTAGGACATATTGTAAATCCCATATTGATACGAAGATTAAAGGTATGATGTTCTAATATTTATGATTATTTTTTTATTACATCATGGGGACAGAATATGTAGAATAATTTAACTCGTTGATCTTGCCTGGTTAAGGCCAATAAATGAAATTGGCACAGATTCATCTTTGCTGATCTCAATCAATAAATCAATCAACTGATTTTACAGATAGAAGCAACCTATGCTTCTTTCATTAAACAACAAATGAAAGAGATGGACGAAGTTCGAAGAAACGAGCAAATGATAATACCTGACGATATAGATTACAATTCGTAAGAGAATCTCAAATTATTATGTTAATTATATATAAAATCATTACTAGATTTTCTATTACGTATTTTTTTTTTCTTTTTTTTTTTTTTTATAGGGTACGATTAAATCTACGTATCGAAGATAAAGAAAAATTAATGGAAATACGTCCGCGTACAGTAAGTTTTCTTTTCTCGTCCGTCTTTCTTTTTATTAAATTTGTTAAATATACGTTATTATTATTAGATGCAAATTTTGTTGATATAATGTACTTTGAATTTTCAGATTGCTGCAGCTGAAAAGATTTCAGGCGTAACACCGGTAGCAATCGTACGACTTTTACAATACATCAAATATAATATGATAAATGATGATAAATGACAAAAATTGAAAATATAAAAAGTGTATATAAAAAATATATCTCAAAAATAATATAACATTAAATGGAAGAAATTTCTCTACGTATAAGAAGGAACCAGGTGTTTCGATAGAACCGAGTATATAGAGAGTTTCTAACATAGAACTTTGCTGATCTAATTAGTGAAGGTTCGAAGGGTCTCTAATTACTAAGTTCTTGATACAGAATTCTCTGCTGGAGCGTGTTCAACGTAAACGTCGTTATAAAATTTGTTTATTTCGACCTAAGTTATATATATATATATACATATATATATATATAAAAGCTTTCATGTTCTATTAAACACTGGTATAATAACTTAAATTTAATTCTCTGTTTTAGAAAATCAATTTTCATTCATCTATTATTCTAGAAAACTTCTAATTGAGGAGGATGACGAAGAATTTAAATACAAAATGAAATTTGTTCGTACTAGGAGTTCATTTTTATTGCCATTAGTGCGATATTAAATACTGTTTAAGATACATCTCGTATGGGAATGGTGTACTTTATTTAATCGGCGCTTGTAAATCGAACGCTAGAAGTCATTGAGCGCTTATATATATATATATATATACATATATATGAATGAATATATATACATATATATATATATGGTTTTTGCTTTTTTCTTTTTTTTTCTTTTTCTTTTTCTCTCTCTTTCTCTTTATTACTAGTGATAAATCTTGTTCTCCTGTGTTCTATTATAGACGGGTTATAAACGTAGTAGTTGACGCGCGGGCTTTTAATATACGATCGTCCTTAATATGCTCGACGATTTAATACTATTGTCTCTCGTCATTTCTTTTTTTTTTTCTTTTTTCTTTTTTTTTTTTCCTTCTCTTACTATGTTTCTCTATCTCTCTTTCTCTCTTTCTTTTAGCCTCATTTTGCATGCCTCGAGAAATTCTCGAGGTGTCTGCATATTTCTTTATATTTTCATCGTATCTTTGGTCAAAGTAAAAGCCAGAAGCCTTCTCATCGACTACCTCTTTCTCTTACTTCGCCCCATGGCAGAGAGATGATGCTTCTTCTATATGCTAGAGATAAACGAAGAATACACGCAAAAAGTGACGAGTGGGATGTTTCCCCTTTCGTACCACAAACGATCGTGCCAACATCCTCTCTCTCTCTCTCTCTCTCTCTCTCTCTCTCTTTTTCTCTTTCTCTCTTTCTCTTTCTCTTTCTCTTTCTCTCACTACGTCTTTGATCTTTCTATCTCCTCTTGAAGAACCATCTCGACGTTATCCTTCTCTCCTTCTCTAACTTCTCCTTTTCTTCTTCTTCTTCTTCTTCTTCTTCTCCTTTTTCCTTTTCTCCTTCCTCATCCCCAATGTATTCGACTTTCACTTTTCGCTATCTTCGTTCAAAGTTAAAAGACAAAAAAGGGAGACAAGAAAAAAGAAAGAAAAGAAAAAGAAAAAAAGAAAGAAAAGAAAAAGAAAAAAAGAAAGAAAAGAAAACAAAAAACAAAATGATAACATAATCAACAATTTCGGCTTACATTCTAATTACGTATTTTACGTGTACTCTGGCAAGCTATTATCTAATTTTGTTACACGTAGTACCGTTATACATATACATATACATATACATACATACATACATATATATATATGTATATATATATATATATATATCTTTCTCTCCTTTTCTCTTTCTCTCTATGTTTATCGTTCGAAATAAATTAATTTATTAAGGCTACGATCTATCTCTCGATTCACATCGATCCTATTATCAGTATATAATATTCTAAGAGAATAAATGTGTGCTCACGTTTTCATTGGATTCGATTATTAATTTGGAATGCGACGATAGAAATATAATATATAATTCGTAATTTCTATCGGTCTGATGAAAATTTGTCGCATTAAAAATTTTTTCGTATATATATATATATGTAACGATAATTATTATTCTCTAAGCGTTCATTTTTATACATTACGAATAATATAAGCTAATTTTATTTCGGTGTTACTCGTGTTATATATCTATATTCTACGATCGAGCCCGGTATTGTTTGTATTGGCAGTTGTTTAATGTTAATAACAAAAATAATATTAATAATATAATGATAATAATGAGAGAAATAAAAAATGCGTTATTATGATAAGTTAAGAATGAATACAATAAAGTCTCTTCTATATTCGGCGACAGTCGTGTGCATAAAAATAAATTTTTAACAAACAAAATTATTTTATAATTATTATTATTATTATTATTATTATTATTATTATTATTATTATTATTATTATTATTATTATTATTTTGGTGATGTATATTTTACTTTTTTTTTCTTTTTTTTTTTTTTTTCTTTTCTTTTTTCTCTCTTTATAATAACTTCAGAATATCGCATAGAATTTTAATAACAGGATATACGACTGTCACCGTGGGAATTTTATGAGAGAATATGTGATCTACGCATTACTTAAAATGACTTATGATGAACACTAATTATATAGTATCATTCGTACACACACGCACATATGCACGCACAAATATACAACACGTCTCGTCGTAATAATTTTTACATACATACGTAGGAGATGCTCCGTTTTCCCCCTTTCTTTTTCTTTTCTTTTCTTTTCTTTTCTTTTTTTTCCTTTTTCCATTCTTTGGATCATAAAATTAGTTAGAAAAAAAAAATGATCAACAAAGGTAAAACGTTCAGAAGTTGAGTCATTTAGAAAAAGGGAACATCGGTTTGTCTCTTCTGTCATTCGTCATTCATACTACAAAAAGGAACTAATTAGACTTTCTAAAATGACCCGTTTGTGTTGTTTCTTTTTTTCTCTTTTTTCTTTTCTACTCTTCGAAGACCATCTCGTTTCTTATTTCTTTTTTTTCCTTTATTTCTCTTTTTCGAACGCCCACATATTTCGAATAAAATCGATTTCGATGTGTCTTCGAGAGAGAGATTGTTCGAATCGAGACAGCGGACATCGTATCTGTTGCTTTTGTTCAAGGCCATCTAAAATCTTCTTTGACGGCTATTATATTTTAGTCTCTTTGATGCACCCGAAGAAAAAAAAAATTCTTTCTTTCTTTCTCTCTCTTTCTTTCTCTCTTTCTTTCTCTCTTTCTTTCTCTCTTTCTTTCTTTCTTTCTTTCTCTCTTTCTTTCTCTCTTTCTTTCTCTCTTTTTATTTCTCTTTCTATTTCTAATCTCGAACGAACAATTCGTAAGCTCTTACAAACTTTTTCTTCTCTAATCTAATGTTGTCTATCGACAAATCGTTTGATAATCGACTCGTGTTTTTCTAATATTAGATAAACCAATGAATGTCGAAAGTTTCAGTATTTTATATTTAAATAAAGATCAGTAGAATTTTTTAATTGCCTACATATGTAAATTATTTTATTATTGTATTATATTGAATATCCAATGGTATAGCATATTATTTTATTGACAACATTAGTATTTTTTTTTGTCTTTTTTTTTTACTATATATAACGTATAATTTCGTATCATTATATCATATTGGCTAGTCACAATAGTATAGTATAATATTATTCTATTAACAATATTAGTATTTTATTTTTTTTATTTTTTTTTTTTTTACTGTATATATCGTATAATTTTGTATTATTGTATTATATTGGCTATCCGAATAGTATAACATAATAATAATAATAATATTAATTATTTATTTAAATATATAATACTGAAAATTCTGACATTAATTATCGATCAATACGGCATGTTAAACTTGCCAGACATCTGGAAGGCATTTAAAAAGGCATCGAATTTTTAATACATATTGTCGCAAATCGTCGATCATTCTCTGATCTTACCCGTTTCTATCCAAAAGAATCTAATTTTTGACTCACGTAGATCAAAACTTATGTTATCTCGATGATTCGTTCGACTATTTTCAATCGACGATGCGAAATGCAGATTAAATTATATGTATATATATATGTATGTATGTATGAACTTGTAATGGCACGCTTCCAGACGATTTTTGACATAGATTGGCAGTATTGTTAAAAATACGACGTTATAAAATTTTCTCTTTTTCTTTTTCTCTCTCTCTCTCTCTCTCTCTCTCTCTCTCTCTCTTTCTCTCTCTCTTTTTCTTTTCACACTATTTTAAAGACATTTTTTCTGGCAGTATTCTTGGACGTAAAGGTTTCTTTTTTTCTTTTTTTTTTTTCTTTTATTGCGATCTCGATGCGATAGAAAAAATTGATGACATATAAAATTTAGATCTCACGAGAGATTTCAATGTCGATGCAAAATAGCCATTCCAAATGACAAACAAGTCAAAGAAATGATTCTCTCAAATTTCCAAATGGCAATAAACAATAAATTATTAATTATTATCCCGTGTGAAGATTCGTGGATCGTTGATCAATCGTTTTTCTTTCTTCTTTATTATTCTTTTTTTTTCTTTTTTTTTTCTTTTCTTTTTTTTTTAGAATTTGGTTATTTCTAAATCTACTTAACTCTTCTACATCACGAATTATTTTGTGGTCCCGATATTAACATTCCAATCGTTATTATACCAACACAAAAAATAATTATGATCCACGAGAAGAGATTTTACGAATGGGCAAAGAATGCATTTGAATTAAAAAAAAAAAATTAAAAAAAAAAACCGTGTCAAAGTATTAGAAAAGAACAACACACATATACACATAAACACGTGTATATATAAAAAAAAAAAAAAAAAAACAAAACAAAAAAACCCATTTGAGTCTTGCAAAAGAGAGAAAGTATTATAATTAAGCTCGATCCGAAGACATTAGAGAAGTGGACGCAATGACTATTCGATCGAATCGGTAATAAATGTATGATTATACATCAGTCATCTATGATTATACATTATCATATCGATAATTTATTAATAATAATTTCTGTTGAATGTTCAATCGCTCTGTCTCTCTCTTTCTTTCTCTCTCTCTCTCCACTCTTCTTTATATATTTTAATAACGAGTTTTTCGATTAGAATGAGTTCGTCACTTATAAAGAATTTTCCCTTTCGTTTTCTTTTTCGATTTTATGCAAGTATTCGTATTCTCGAACGTATACACACACACACACACACCATACACATACAGACTCACTCACTCACTCACGCATGTATATATATATACGTGATCTTGAAGTGCTTTAGTGTACATATATGTATATATACACATATAAGTCCGTCAGAGAGAAAGAAAAAAAAAAAAAGAAAAAGGAAAACAAAAAAAAAACAGAAGAAGGCGTGTTAGAAATACAGCCTCTAGGCTTTCTCATTCCTGACAAAACACCCACGGGTTCTCAAGGTCAACGACCTTAGAATGGAAACGCAGTGATCGTCGATGTTTGCCGAACGTTCAATGCGTTCACCCAAAGTCGACATTGTTAAAAGTTTTATTTTTTTTTTTTTTTTCTACGATAGTTGTAGAGTAGTCTTCCGACTCTCTTTTTATCTTCTTCGTCATTTTATTTTTTCATTTATTTATTTTCCTTCTTCTTTTTCTTCTTCTTTTTTCTCTTCTTCTTCTTCTTATTATTATTATTCATATTTAATCAGGAATCTTCGAGGTGAGTTTTAACATATGGTCTCCAACGGTGCAGTCTTAGTACTTGGATTCTGTGTAACGCTATCACCCATGCTGGGCATCCCATGACTGGTTGTACTCAGGCCATTACCCTGTCGACCAGCGTTCGTTCTTGGATTTCTATTGCAAAGTCTTTTCAATGCCGCTCTGACCTGAGGTTGACAGCCGACCACTGCGAATATCAGTACACCTTGGAAGGCGTTTATCAGGTCGGTGAAGTACCAGATATATTGCGGACCACCTACTGCCCATGAGACCACGTCAGCGACCCATGTGATCCCCATCACGATCACCAACTTCATACATACTCGGCCAAGTGCAGCCCTGTGTTCGACAGAAACATATCAATATTATTTATTAATAAAGGATATAATAATAATAATAATTGGAAATATAATTGGACTTTTATTTTACTTTTATTTCTTTTCTTTTTTTTTATGAGATTCTTACGCTTAAAGCTCATTGTTTGCTTTTTTCTTCTTTTTTGTTTTTTTTTTTGTTTTTAAACGTTCGGACGATGCACGATAAAAAGACATGAAGGAATAAATGTTTTAATTATGTTTTTAAAGGTATGATTGATTTAATAAAATAAATTTCTTTCTTAGCTCTTGAATTTAATAATTTTAAAAATAATGAAAAGACGAGAAGAAATGATAGTACGATGATACGATGATTTGCGGTAGACCGCCAGTAACGTAGAAGAGATCATTCGGATCGATAAAAAGATCGATGGGAGGAACGACGACGAAGGAGATGAAATAAAATAACTTAGTATCTTGGATCGTCGCTTGTTCTGATGTGCCACGGATAAAAGTGAATGAGAACCTATGATCTATCGAGAATCGTGATCGATTGTAATGATAAATTTCAAGGATCAACGACTTCTAGTTTTGTTCGATCAATAGATATCGATATCAGACAGTCTAGGCAATTTGTAATTAACGTTAATTTATGCTATTATATAGGCTTAATTTAACTTTTATGCCATAAATTTTAGATTGTGGTATAATTATATTATAAAAAATTATATAATGTGAAAGTATATGAAGCATTAGTTATATTATTATAATATAATATATAAAATACTATAATTACAGTAATATATGCTAGTACAGTAGTTTACTACTATATAATTCTTTTTTTTTTTAATATTTAAATTACATGATATTTAAATATGAATGGAGAAAAATATATATATTTATATATATATATATATATATGTAAAAGAGTTTTCAGTTATTTTCTACGTTACGAACGATAAGAAATCTTTTTCTGGATCGTAAAAAGAGAGAAACTAATATTTCTTGCGATATATATTTCTGAAAGTTCTCATATAATCGCAACTACGTTTCCGTAGAATCGTAAATCGTGTTGGCACGGTAGTAACGACGAGGGTAAAGTTTATAGAGATCGTTTCCTTTGGTTGTCCGTGCAAATAACATTCTACGGGAATGTAGAATCGAGAATCAAGATCGTCAATATCAATCTAACGATTCGAGAAAAGAATGGAATGATATTGGAAGGATGAGGATTGGATTAAAGAGGGACTGATATTGATAGAAGAAAGTACGAATGAGAAATAACGATATTTGTCCGTTTTCTAGATCATAAAATTGAATTACTAGGAAAGAATTCAAAGTTACATACAATCATTTCGATTTATATAAAATTTGATCTTTCTTAATAAGGAATAAAAATCATCGATATGGTCGATTAGTAAAGGCTACTTTTTCTAATCGTGAAAATTAATGTCAACGATAGTTGCGAATCGTCGAGAGAATTCTCGAGAGGACCACTTTCATTTCGAAGGTTAAAATGAAACCAGTTATCCTTGATGTTAATCGCTTAAGCACGTCGTCCTTCGTTCGAAAACAAAAGCCTTTTCTTTCTCTAAAGAAACAGGATTCAACGGGTTCATTCTGATTTATTTTAAGATTGAGTATAGTATAACTATTTCAAAGGGTTTACATATATATATGTATACATATTCATGTACATAGTACATAAGTGTTTTCGTCGAATAAATCGAATCTTAGTTAATTACATGAAACAAGGTTGGAGTTTACAGAGTGCATCGATCGCAAAACTTGAAACATTATTGGTCGGTTAAGTAGATCAGAAAGTTCTCTCTCTATCTCTCTCTCTCTGTCTCTTATCGAATCGAAATCAAAAGACGACGAGAGAAAGAGAGAGAGAGAGAGAAAGAGAGAGAGAGAGAGAGAGAGGGAGAGACCTTCGTGCGAGTTTAATAAACCTCGTTTGAATATGATCTCGTTTGATCTCGATTTACGAATTTTCTTAGGTCTTATAAATTCTTTTTTTTGTTTCCTTTCTCTTTTTCTCTTTTTCTTTTTTCTTTGGTAAGAAATCGTTCAAATTTCATGACTTACCTTTCTGTAGTACTCTTGACGAATTCTCCCTTCCAAAGGCCGCACGTTAATTCACGTGCGGTTGCGGCAAAGAAAAGAAGATTCACGGCTAAAAGTACACCGATCGGTCCGAAGAAATACGCAAGGATTTCCATGTCGCCTGAAATAAAATAATAAAAATGAAAATATACGCACGTAAATATCAATACGTAAATATGACCCGTCTCATTCATGCGATTTGTTTTCTCCTATTATGTTTTTTCATTTTTCCCGCATTTATTTTTCTTTTTTTTTTTTCTTTTATTCATTTGGCGAGTGGTAGGGGGGGTGTGTAGCGGGAGAAAAAAAGAAAAAAAGAAAAAAAAAATCGCTCGCATCATAGGTCGCATTTCTCTCTCGCAATAAGTTCATTCGTTGATTTTAACAACGTGGTTCGACCACCGAAACGCGAAATAATATTTCTAAATTTAAATCATCGCCAGACAGGATAAGCCGGATCTTCGATGTTTCGAATTTCTTCGATTCAATAATAAACATCGTTGCGTTTTACCAAGGGAGAAGGAAATGGATTTACGCGTTATACTTAAACTCAAATAACGTGAGACTTGCCTTTATTTCATGTACCATAGATGAGAAATTTCATTTCTCTATCTCTCTCTCTCGCTCTCTCTTTTTATCCTTCTGCCTCTCTCTTTCTCTCTCTCTCTTTCTTTTTCCTTTTCTCTTTTACGTTCGTGCGAAAATAGATTTTTTTTTTTTTGCGGACATCGAAGAGGGAGGAGAATAAAAATACGATCGAGGACAGGAAGATAAATCTGTTCGACGATCGTGCGTGATTCACCGGAAGCGTGAAGCAATATACACAAGATTGAACGAATCACGGATTGGTTTTTGCTCTAGGTAACGCTAAAATAAAAAAATATTTATATATATATATATATATATATATATATATATATACATATTAGCAGAGAAAGAAAGAGGAGAAAGAGTGAGTAGGTTACGTAGAAGTGCGAGCTGATAGGAAGCAAACCTTACTTTTATCAAAGAATTTTCGTATATCTTTTACGGATCACCCCACTCGTAATTCTATACTTACGTATTGTATATCTGAATATACTTACGTATATTCGTACATGAACTTTTACCATCCTCCCAATCTCCCTTCCCTCTTCCGCATCATCCTAGTTTTCTC